TCGAAAGAAACCAGCACATTGAAACCAAACGGGGTGGTTGGCCCTGTCTGGAGTTGCTGAACTCTTAGCTCACCCAGACTGACGTCCAGGCTACCCCGTCGACACCACGAGGAGGTGGTTCAGCTCGCCAACTCAATGGTGGCAGGAAATAATTCTGCTGGAACAACTAGTCTTGCTTTCCGCCTTCGAGTTTGTGGGACGAGCTAGAAAAAGGCCTGGCAGAGCAAGTTGGCCAGCTGGAGCTGGTAGCTCACTGCTGCTGATCCAAGGAAATTACTGCAGATGGAATACTTTGAGTCCTTCAGTGCGACCATCATGAGGGAACTGGTCTTTCTTTGCCTCAGATAGGTGTCGCTCGCCGAATTTGCCGTCAACATGGTCTACGCCGGCTCAGTGAACGAATTCCCCTTCCGCTCGATTATGGGAACTGGTGCGTCTTTGCCTCAGATAGGTGTCGCTCGCCGAATTTGCCGTCAACATGGTCTACGCCGGCTCAGTGAACGAATTCCCCTTCCGTTCGCTCGATTATGTACCTCAAGGACGGACCCAGTGGCCAAACCATTTCCGAAAAATGGAGACAAGAGCAACCCTGTGAATTACAGACCTACCTGGTTGGAGCCCATCCTCACCAAAGTACTCGGAAAAACAGTAAAAATGCTTCCTTTTAATTCCTATAAAAGAGTATCACCTTAAGTCCTGCTCAACATGAGTTTCTCCCACACATTAGCAATCCACCAGCCGCCCGCCACGCCTTTGTGGGAGTTGTAGACAACAGGCAACAAGTAGATGTGATTATGATAGATTTTAGCAAGGTATTTGATCGAGTACATCACGACAAATCGCTGCGAAACTTGTGCGAGGAAGGGGATGGCGGAACTTTCATGATTTAGTTTCCCCCCTTCCTTGATAGGAGACGCTGAAAAGTTGAAGTAAACGGCTACATAGCATCGCACGCCAAGTAGTTCCACAAGGATCTGCTCTTGGGCCACTTAATTTTTCCCTTTCATAATAACGACGTCCCACCAAGGCTGAAATCATCATGTGCCATGTGAACTGACGACATGAAGCTCTGGAGAACCATCCAACATCCAGATGACCACCAAATGATATATGTGGCTAACAGACTTTCCGAATGAAGAAGAAAAGAAAATCGTTCAGCGGTAGCACCCCTCCGGTGCCTAGTTGCCATGTCACCTGAAGGAAGTACGAGGGCTGGGATACTGCCGGGTTGCCCCAGCCTAGACAGGGGAAGTCGAGAGGAAGAGGTCGGATTCGAACTAAGAACCTTCCGGCTGGTAAATTCGCGCTCTAACCACTTGAGCCATCTGTCAATCATTCTGGATCGAAATGGCTCAGCTCAACGGCAGCTGAGCAATGACGAGGTCAAAAAACCTTTCAGTGTTTGATCACCGATGTCTTCGGAGTGTTGCCGAGTCTGATTGGAACACCCGATCAGCAATGTTGAAATACGTCGGACGGTTTCGCGAGAAATAACTTGCCCACTATAAATTAACTGGGGCGAGATAGCTCAGTGGTTAAAGCGAAAACTTACTGACCGCAAGGTCCATGAACCCGACCCATACATCTCGACTTCCTCTGTAGAGGCTTGGGAAACCTGGCGGTATCCCAGCTCTCGTACTTCCTTCGGGTGGCATGGCAGCTAGGCACCGAAAAGGTGCTACAGCCAGACGATTTTCTTATTCTGGAGAAAACCGAGTTATTGTCTGTAGGAATGTGCAAATGCCACCCTCGAGGATGACACCGCAACTACGGAATACACCGGACAGACGTACGCACTGGAATTAGGATTGACCTAAT